TAGTACAATTTATATTTAACATACAGTTGTGCTCAATCAAATCCCATCTTCAATTTCTGTTTTGGCTTAAGAACTGTTCTTTCTATCGACCAGCTTGAGTATAGCGTTGACGAAACTAAGTTATGAAAGACTTCTGAATACTTAATTTTATTTTCTGAATGTTAATTTTAGCAATATTTGCATCTGAAGATTCGGTGAAATTGCTTTGTATATAGTTAGAGATAGAAACACCATAATTTATATCACTTTCAAACAATAAGAGACTTAGTTTGCGTCTGGTACACGAGAACTGACTCATTGCGGCGGGATATTTAAAAAACAATTATTTACGACAAAAACTAATGAAGAACTGTAATATTTCATACTCAAATGTACTATTTTATACCGAAAAATTATGAAAGACGTTTGCAAAATTAGTAGATATAAACTATTTTACAATTTTGCGGTTTTGCGATTTTTCCATGATTCTTATGGGAATGGGATCTAAATATTATGTGAAATACACGATATCAGTATAGCATAAGATAAAAAAATATGTAACAAAAGGGCCAAGAGCCTTTATTTAAATGTCCGTGCTGAGTAACCCGAAATCAGAAAAGTCTTATTAAACGTACTTAAAAATATATGTTTTCACACGCTGATATTCTAAGACATTTGACAATGTTATGCACTGATACAGCAAAAAAAAATTGTTGCCGTCAAATTATATCATATTATCTAAGAAATAACATAAAAAGCAGAACTTCGGCAAGCTTCGGCAAATGTCAAAACTCCAACTGAAAGTTTAAGAAATGAAAATATTCCACATTATGATATAGATTTTTTTATTAAATAATATAAAAAAACTGCATGTATTTTTATTTTATAGAAAAGAAGACATTCTAAGCTTTCTAAAATGGTATCACACTTATATGACTTCTTTTGTTATGATACAATAAAATTATATCAAACTAACTGAAATCATATTATTATTTTTGTATTTTTTTCATCCCCTGATTTTAGATGTTCTTCTTCATAAAATACGAAGAGTCAGAGACTTAAATTATATTGATTATAGTAAAGTAACTCTTTAGCTATAATTTGATGTTTAATACATGCCTCGAATCACAGTAACGAAAAAAGCATTTATGAGATGGCTTAGACGGGTTCCCATAGTGCGTCGTTTCGGTTTATGTATGAGTTCCTTTACGTTTTAGTAAAATAGAGAAGATTTACTGTAAATGAATAAATAAATTAAGTTTTATTTTATTATTATAAAAAAAATCCATTATTTTTTTAAACTTATCTATATTATAGTACTACAACGATTTGCTAACCAGCTTCCTTAGGAAATATTCCTACCTTCCTACCATATCCATACTCCATTACAACTTTTATGTTTTAAAGTACGTTAAGTAAAATAATGTTAATTAAATCGCCTGACACATAGTATGTTATGTGGTAAAAATTATATTAATTAATTACATTTACTCTCATTAAATAATGAAAAATTATTTAATAAAGATATTTTTTTCATATTTTTTTAGGGGCTGATTTCCGCTTTGCTGTTTGTCATTGGGGTATGGAATACAAAGCGATTAAAAAAATAAAGATATGACGTGTCTTTAGGATATCTCCGTAGTTATTTTCTCATGAGTAATATATTGATGATGTGTTTTTAATACTGATGCACTCTAAGTACACTAGCTAATGTTCTGTACTGCGGGTAATTATCACAGCTATTATGGTTTTTGCCACCGAATATCACTAAATCAAAAATATTATTTTTTGTGCAAATTTTCTAAATTCCTTGTTATACTTATATTATAAGCATAAGCTTATTATATTTATGTTATAACTATACCCATGTATAACGCGATTATTTTTATTTGTTAGTGTTAAATTGTCTGATCAGTAAATTTAATAAGTACGGTACGCAAGTAAAAGGTAAGCGCGTATCGCAAGGTGCTTCGACGCCAAACGTCCAGTTCCCGTCGCATGAGTACCACAATTTACATTATATCAGGTTTTTTTTATCGCGTCTAACTGTCAAACTCCCTAGTAATTTGACAATAAAGTGATAAAAACGCGTTATATGTCATATCGCGGTGCTCAAGCTATGGCTGGGCGACTCAAGGGGGGCAGAAGCGTCATTTATTACGAATATCGAAGGAGCTCAGTAACTTTCACAGTGTTGGCCATAGAAGTGACCAAAATTTTATTATCTTGAGCTCTTCCGTACTTCGAAGGACATACTAAATTGTTGCTCAATGCGGCAATTGCGTGTGAATAACTTATTTATTCATACTAAATATTATCAGTAAAATAGTGGTTGGTTATTGAAAACGTTGCTCTGATTTCCCAAGTAGACACTTGCTTTGCATTTTGGCCGTTGTTCGTATAAATCTTAATCAAGAATAGCATAACTCCATACACATTCGCACACCTACGTCACAGATGCGTCAAAATAGTGCATACAATTATGCAACGTGACGCGGCGTACGCACTCGCACACTCGGTATTTGGAACAGTTATTTCAGTTGTCACATAGTTAGAGGCACCTATATATTTGGGGTATCAGTGACGCAAATAGCAGTGATAAACGGGGTTAATTTTGGCTGATATTGGTTCTATTGTAGCATGTTGTTGGTCTTATTGTGGTGGCTTGTTTACTACGCCCACCTGAGGACAGCTTGAATGTTTGTTCACCTGTTTCAGCCTCGATGAGGCTGTTGTTCTTCTGTTGATGAGATTAATCGCTTTCAGTGAGGGTTTAGATTTGCCACACTGAGCAGTATTTCAATAACCAGTTCCTTCCACTTTCATCTGATTTTATTTTATCGGCTGTGCTAAGTTCGCCAGCTACAAAAGTGAAGGCAGTTCGGTGAAGAAAATAAGATATTGTTAAAATGAACAGACTTTAAGAAACTAAACATTTAATAGAGCTTCATTGAATCAGTTCAATTGCGTTAAAATTAATTTAATATTATAAATACTTTACCCATAGCAACACTTCAGATTTTTTTTTGAATTCGTATAGTTGAAGTAATTGAATATTTAACGTCAAAATGAAAGTTATCATGATTGAAGTTTGACATAAAGGGGCGGGCTTCAATATGGACTTATCAAGATACGTATTTTGTGATAAAACTTTGAGAATGGAGAGCATATAGCATCTATTGTTATAAAGAGTGTAATTTTAAATCTACTAATATGAGTACAAATTATGAGGTACGAAATTAAAAAAAAATCCGTATTTGGATTTTAGATTTTCAGTTCAGCAATCAGAAGCATATTTAGAAATTACTCAAGTAAAAGTTTACTGTGGAGAAAATAATTTTAAAATTAAATATTTCAATGTTCCAGTCGTATTTCAATCATTACTGATAATAATATTAATATTCGAAAACATTTCATTGGCCACCAAGATGGCAAGCAACTATAAAATAATAACTGCAAGTTTTGGTTATAATATAAATAATAGGTCGAAATAATTTCCGCTTTCGATGCTGATAAAGGTTTCGTAATTATGGAAATTATCCGTCTTTGTATGGCAATAATTTCTTAATATTATAAATGTGTGGGTTTGTAAGTTAGTAACGCAAAAACTACTGAACTGATTTGGATTAAATTGGGAAGACATAGTTTATGATTTGGATTGAGACAAAGGATACTTTTTATACCGAAAAAATGTTAGGTTTAAATAATAATTAAGTGCCACTACACTTAATTATTATTTAAACCTAACATTTTTTTAAGACAAATAATTGTTGATATGGCAGATATGCTCGTCGCTATACACGCACACATTGACTACTTTATTAAATCTGACATTGGAGTCTCATTTCGTTTTTCATTTCTACAAACCTTATCCTGACAATAACGAAAACAATAAAAAAAGAATTATCCAATTTGGTTCAATCGTTCGAAAGTGATGCGCGTACATACTTTTCGACGATTCATATTTATAGATATACCTATATATATAAGAAGATAATATTTTACAAAAAAAATATTCATTTATTCATTCGGTAACGGGAGAACGCACCAAGAATTGGAGCGAGTCCATTTTTAGTAAAAAACATTATATTCTCATAATTTTGGGGTAAATATTAGGACGTCGTTATGAAATATAAGTTGTGTGATAGATAAAATTATTATATCACGGGAACTGATGCCGACAAAGAAGAAAAATAAAGGTAGAAAAATAGACTTTAAGTGTTTTTCGGTATGGAAAGTAAATAAATAATAATGAATACAATACTTAAAGGGAAAGGAATTTTGCATGTGCTTTGCACCTCATCGGTGGCAAATTATCAACAAGTGTAATTGCTGCCAAAAGCCGCGACCGTGCGCTCGTCCAATACCGTCGACCCTGCCTGTTGTACAGTCTGCGATGCACGACTTATTTATAAAAGCTTCTTCGAATGCTATTCGATAATGGCTGCAACGTTTTACAGCAAATTAGCTTGTTAACAACTTCATAGTTAACGGCTAAATAAATATATTTTAGGTACAATAGTAGTTTTTGTTATGATGCTTTTATAACTACAACTTTAAATAGAGGAATAATTATTGAACCTGTAGGAGATAATGTTGATATTTCTTTTTGGTTGAATTATTTTAGTAGATTCTTTTGGGTGAATTGTTTGTCTAAAATGAACATTTAATCAATAATTGAAATTAATGTTACTTATTCAATAACTTACCAAATTTCATTATTTAATTTTACTTATCAAGATACATGATCCCAAATCTTCTTCACCTATAAAATCGTACAGTGTAAACTGTTATTTTCAATATCACCCATCCAATTATTAAAGTGGGATGTTCACGCAGCCGCCGAATCGCGACATAGATAAAATAATTATTATAGTAAACCAGACACCTAGACGGTTGTTTCGCGTGCCCATCTAAATTATTTTCGTAGCTCATTTTAGGTCCCAGAACGAATGGTTCAATATAAATTTAATCAGCTTTTGGCAAAACTTTGCAGTAAACAAACATGATTTGCAACGAACCTCGCGCACTCGAGTAGCTCCTTGTGGGGTGCGAAAGTGGCCCCACCGCCCAGCCCGATTAGGGCCAGTATGGGGATTAAGAGAGTCCACATAGCTATGGTCTGGCGGGCGGGCGCCGTCGGTCACCTCTCGCGCATTTCACAACACTCACTCGCTCGCACATGTCAGCGGGCTCGCACACATCACTCACGACGTGGTTCACTGGAGTAGTGGTGACCTCTCGAGGTCTCTAGGCTCCTGGGTCGAGGACCGTGAAGTAGCGAGCGCGACGCGATACTGTGCGACGGGCAGGCGACACGCGGCGGGCGGCGGCGGCGGCGGCGGCGGGCGCGGTCACGGGCGCAACCTTCGCTGCCGATCTCACCCTGTGACGTGCCCGCTCGGAAAAACTACGCAACGTAACGCGGCGCGTCGACGACTGCAGCGCGGGCAGGACCCCGTGCCGTGAAACGTCACACGCACTGTCCATTTGTCGGCTTGTAGCAATTTAGATCATAGAGACAAGAAAAAAATTGTGAAATAAAAGTTCATTAAAGTAAACTTTTTATTTTCGCGTGTATTTAGAATAACGCGAAATAGATTGAATGTAATTGAAAAAAAAAATAGGTGTATGAATTTATTTTAATTATTCATAGACAATATACTGATTTTAATAAAAAGTAAACGGAAAGAAAAATTTACTAAACTAAAAAAAAAGTAGACCATAAATGAATGATTTTGACCTATATTAAGTTGAACTATTACCATAGTACTCAATACCGATAAAATACCATGTCTCGCGAAAAAATCTTTTTGCTCATCACAGCCTTTACTGGAATTAGAATCTGGAACCGTTCTAGTAGAAAAATTCTTATAATCTTATTTTATAATCTTAAGGCCGTGGCCATCGCACCAACCGGTAGTCAAATACAAATTCATAGTACTGGTCTTCACATGATATCATAAATACTGGCAATCTCTTTTTTTAAATAACTTTATTAGAACCAATGACATTCCTTGAAAACACACTAAGTAGGTACTACTGTAATAGTTCTTTACAAGCAAACCAGTGAACCAAAACCTGATTTAAAAAAAAATGTATTTAATTATAATTTTTATTATTTTTAAAGCATGTAACTGCTTGATGTTTAAATCTTAAGAAAATATAACTAGAAAAAATTCCACGCGGACCAGGCAGCAGACGGGACTCGAACCCGCACCCTTCGCAATCCGGGCGAATGCACTGACCAGTGCATTCGCCCGGATTGCGAAGGGTGCGGGTTCGAGTCCCGTCTGCTGCCTGGTCCGCGTGGAATTTTTTCTAGTTATATTTTCTTAAGATTTATTTAATTAATTGAGAACTTCGGAGATTTGGTGTTTTCGTTTGAAATAGAAATCACGTGATTTCTCAAAAACCGGAAGTGCTACGTTACTCAAATCCGGTTTGTAGTCTTATCAGACTATTCTTAACTTATAACTTAAATATTCTCTTTATCTATCTCTTACGGTTTGGCCGCTGAAACAGCACCACAGACAGACAGACGGACGTACTTGTCTAATAGATAAGAGATGATATTAGTGCAGTAAGTTGGTTATTACAAACGAGTAGACGAGTCGAGGGCTTACCATAGTCACGAGTTTGTAAATACCAATCCGCACGAATGTCATACAACGTTTTTCAACACATTTGCCAGAAAACTATTTAAACATTACATTTACTTACATTTATACATTACATTAACTTACATTTGTACATTATATTTACTGATAACATTCGACAACTGTTTGTAATGACCAACTTAATCTTAATATCATAAATAGTTATATCAAGGAGGTTCGACCGAAATTAAAAAAAAACCGTAAAGGATACGCCCGGCGCCATGTATGGGAGCATTGTATGGCCCGTAATTTTTAACTTTCGAGCAATGTATACAACCTCCGTAAATGCTTTGTTTTAGGCAAATGTGTTGACAAGTTATTTTTTAAAGCTCCGTGTACAAAGGTCCGTTTATCGTAGTGTATTTATCAGCGAAGCACAAATAATGTATCAAGTTAGAAAACCCATCGCCATCGGCTGGTATTTTAAATAAATTCCTTTAGTCATTGACAGCTAAAAAAGTTCACAAGACAATTAAGTTTATTTACCTCGGTTCCCAGGGTGGGTAGGCGGCGTGTCGCACTCGCGTGACAGCCTGCCGTGCCCTGTTGTTGACATCGCCGACTTTTGCAAATCCATTCGTTCGCGCGGCCGATTAAAAACGAGCTTCACTTGTTCTTCGAGGTAAATATGTTGAAATTATTGTTATAAAGTTTTTACGAGATTGCATTTATTTTCCTTGTATTGTTGATCTACCGAATTGTATAAGAACTATTGACACAGCGTTTAAAGTTAATTTCATCAGCACATCCTTTTAATGTCCCTACTGCTGGGATACAGGCCTTTATGGATGGGATAGGGAGACTGGGCCATGGCCCACCACACGGGCCCAGTGCCGTTAGGTACTAACGAATACAGACGCAGCCGTGACCAACGGCTTATTGTGCCTTCCGAAGCACGGAGGAGCTCGAAAAAGTAAGGTTTTGGTTACCAATCCAATGACTGACCGTTGCGAAAGTTGCTTAACTTCCACGATCGCAGGCCGAACGCGCGAACCACCCGTACCATCGAGCTCCTCAAGTGCACTTAATATTTATAAATAATGTTGTGGAGTTTCTTTCGCCGGTTCTACTCTAGAGCTAAAGCAAATTATGAACTGGTATTTGGAAAAGATTAGGACTCTGAAATGTTTTGTTTTATAATTTCAATTTGTTTTTTTTTATAACTTTATTGTTATGGTTTTCGCGTAGGCGTTGTACATACAGACATTTATCCAGGGTTGGAAGTAAGGAAGAGTAGGCAGGCTGTGACTCAGGGGCCTCCATACCACTACATCTTGCCCTGCCTATGTCAGTTTAAAGAATCATATCCAAAATACACTATCCAATTTTAATAGTTATACAAAAGAAATAGAGATTATTTTCAAGTTAAGTAAGTCGCAGTAGTAAACAGAATGTAAACACAAAAACAATCAATAACAACTGCGAATAATATTGATAACAAAACTCATTTGGTACAGCAGTGCCGTTAATTTTAAGTAAACATAAACCATACTTTCACTGGTTCATCGATTATACTGTATAGGTAGGTAGCGGTTGCGTGCGTTCGCGAATTTATTAATAATTTCAGCAAAACTTAACCGAGTACAAAAATAGAGTGAGCCGTCGCCGTGTCGTCGTAACCGCATGGTTTGTGGGATTCGAAATTGATTCAAATGTAGCCCGATTGGCATATCGTGCCATCGAACGGGTTCTTTTTGGACGAGACTCGGGCTATGTTGTCGAGCGGGGCGGCTACCCATACTTCCGCCACCCATTAGAGAGATCTAGGTCCTCATAGTGCGTCTAGTCTGGTGACAGGTGCAGGAGTTTTTACTGGTTAGGACCCTCCTCATTTCACCGAGCATCTGGGCTGGGTGAAATGGGCGGAGAGAAATCTTCGGATACCCTGTTCGCGCTACTCCCGGTGGTTCAAGGAAGCGTATACCTTCTCCTGATATAAAAAAGGGGTTCAAATGATACCTGTACTAAGGGATGAGGACTTGATGAAAAATGGCAAATGGTTAGCTGAGCGCGCTAACCTTTTGCTGCGATCGTTGAAGTAAAGCAAGTTTCAAAGTAGTCGGTCATTGGACGGGTGTTCAAATATTTACTACACACATCAAAAGTGTCTAGGGATCAACATATATTTTTGCAATAACTTTCTCCTGATTGATATTAATTAAAATTTTCTTTAAGGATTCATCAAATAAAGTGTTTTCGTTTGTCACAGTAACGATAAACCAAGTCACCTTTGCATTAATAAAGAAATTTGCCATTTTCCTAATAAAGGGATTTTTGACATTTGAACCACTAACACAAAAGTTCGAAAAAAAGACTGAAATAACAGTTTTCTCTAAAATTTTATTGGGTAACTTAAACAATTAATAATCCGTATTTCTACCGCGAACACTAACAACACAAGAACATCGGTTTGGCATACTCAAAATGAGTTCATCCAAATCACGCTGTGGAATGGCCGCCCATGTTCGTTGCAACAACAAAAAAAGGTCTTCTTGCGACTGGATACCCTCCATATTCGGCAGAGCTCTTCTCTGTAGCATATCCCATGCATGCTCAATCGGGTTCAATTCTGGCGACTGAGCAGGCCAGGGCAGGACATTGATGTTAGCTGCGGCGAGAGTCTGTCTTACAACTCTTGCGGTGTGCGGTCGTGCATTATCATGCATTAACTGAAATAAGGGACCGATTTGCACTTGTAGAGGAACGATGACGTCTGATACAATCGTCTCAGCATAAATTTGAGCGTTGAGGTTGCCTCTGATCCAAATCAACTCAGTTCTTCCGCCGATCCAAATACCCGCCCATACCATGATGGTTCCACCACTATAAGGATGGACTTCCTGGCAGTATTTTAATCGCTGTTGGCGTCCAGGGGTTCTCCAATGTCGTATACGTCTTGTATCCGGTCTCATACCAAAACGAGACTCATCAGAAAAGCACACGAAACGCCATTGTTCTTCTGCCCAATTTCTGTGTTCAAGAGCCCATTGATATCGAATCCTACGATTGTGCATTGCTATAGGTGGTACCCGTAGCGGTCTTCGGGAATGAAGGTTCACTTCATGCAAGCGGTTTCTGACTGTTTGGTCGCTAATTAAGTTCCCTGAATCATGGCGGTTATTGTTGGAGCTCTTCGAGTTAAGATTTGAATGTATCGGTCTTGTCTCCGTGTGGTGCAGCGATACCGTCCTCCATGGCGCTCAGCCACGGTACCAGTGCTTCGGTATCGTGTCCAAAGTCGACTGATAACACTCTGACTTGTATTCAGAGCTAAAGCCACAGTACGTTGCCGGGAACCAGCTTCTATCATTCCCACGGCTCTGAGCATTTCTTCCGTGCTTAAATGACGTCGCCGCTCCATAATAACGTTGGTTTTAATCAGTAGTAGGGAAACAGTAGCACTAATAATGTCTTCAATGCGTTGTATGTTTTTATAGGGAAAATATTGACAGCTGATTTTCATCTTTTACTCGAATTTGATTCACAGTTCCTGATTCAAATTATGAAATGCACCAAAAAGGATCCATATAAATTTATAAAATCATAAATTTATTACAAAGCCACATCTCAATCTCAAGAAATCCGCATAAAAATGCTTGATCCCTAGACACTTTTGATGTGTGTATTTTGAGCTTCTCCGTGCTTCGGAAGGCACGTTAAGCCGTTGGTCTTGACTGCATCTGCGGTCGGTAGCACTCGTCCACTGGACCCGCGTAATGGGTCATGAATCAATCTCCCTATTCCATCCATAAGGAAAACCTGTGCCTCAGCAGTGGGGACATTAATAGGCTGATGATGATGATGATGATGACTAAAGGGAGAGGAGCTTATAAGAGGGAAAGGAGCTTAGTGCTAGATTAACTTATTCGGTCATGAGTGAAATTAAATCGAACCTACCTTTGATGACAGCGAATGCGGCATCTGATAAAAAAACATAAGCAACGCACCTTTAAACGATACCTATGTTTACAAGTACCGTTTGAAAAACAAAACT